GCGGGAGGGAGCGGCACCGGGCCGGGAGCGGAACGGGCTGGGAGACCCCCAGTGTGTATCCATGTGGGGGTGCTGGACGAGGGGAGTGCGGGGGGATGTGTGCAGGCTGTGCACACATAGACGTGTGAGGAGAAGGGAGTGTAAAGGAGGGAGGGTGTGTGAGGGGTCTGTGCAGCACGTAGGAGGGTGCTGCATCTATCGCACACCTTTTAGAGGGTCTGTCTGTGTGTGTGTGGATACTTGCGTGTGCTGGGAGAAGGTGTGTATGTGTGTGTGTGTGCTCATTGCCTGCGTGTGTGCAGTGGGATGGATGAGCCTCCCCCGCGCGTGTGTAAGCAGGGTGTCTGAGCACGCCTGTGCCTGTGCAGAGTGGGAGAAGTGAGTGCATTAAACGTGTGGGAGCCCCCACACACCCTCGGGAGTGTGCCCGGGGTTTAAGGGGTGTGTATGTCCTGGTGGTGTGTGGGGAGAATGTGGGTCCGTCACTGGAGCAGTGACCATGCACACGCATGTGAGATGCAGCGTGCACTGTCAGAGGGGCCTCGCACCTGCAGTGTGCACACACGTGTGTGTTTGCTCTTATAGGACAATAACAAATGCCCTCTGTGTCTGTGGGGAACTTGGGGGTGTGTGTTTCGTGTGCTCGCCTGTTGGTGTGTGCAATCTCTGTTAGGAGGGGCAGGAGTGTGCACACGTGCTTTTTGGGGGGAGGTGGGTGTGTATTCATGCTACCAATCCATGTGCAGGCTCAAAGGGGTGTTCGGGGCAAGCTCCAAGTGCTGAATCCTGAGCTCCATCCTCAAGGGCTGGGGTATCACAGCAGTGTGATCCATGACCTCCAGCCTAGGACTTTGAAGGGATCTTTGTGGCAGGTGCTGTGGGTGCCTGGCCCCTGGCTGAAGGGGTCGGATTGTAATGTGGCCTGGATGCCCAAAGAGCCTTCCTGGCACAGGTAGAACAAGGCCAAGTGTCTCTGTCACTGGAGTGGCTCAGTGCTCCTGGCTTGCCCTGTGTCCCTGCTTGCAGTGGGGTAAACTGTGGCACCAGTGTATCACCAAGTGTGTCTGCAGATGTCACACAAGGATTTAGGACAAGGTGAGAGCTCGGCATCTCTCTGCCGTGGGTGCTGCCTGCTGGCAGCATCCCCTGACTGTTTCCTTACTCTCCCTCCACCTGCCTGTCTGCCAGATTTTCTTGACTGCTTTCTCTATGGAGGAAACTTTGCCAGGAGGCAAAGGAGGCACCCGCTCTTCCTTGGGCTTTTTTGGCCAGGGCAGCTTAGGGACCAGCATTGCCCCACAACACTGGGACACAAGGGACATTGGCTTTGATTCCATCCCACAGCCAGGGCAGTTTGCCACTGAGATTTCCTACTGCTGCACTGGGTTTTGGTGGCATGGGATGACAGGAAGCTGGGTGGCAAGGGCTAGTGGCTCTGTCCCCTCCATGGCCACCTGTGTGCTGCAGGGGCAAGGGGCAGCCAGCATGACCCAAGTCCTCCCTTTTCCTTGAAGCAAAGAAAGGAAAGGAAATCTTGAGGAAAAACAGCTACAGGCCATGCTGATGGCAGAAGCTGCCTTTGCTCTCAGGCTCCATGGCCCAGCTCTGTCCCCTTCACCACTTCCCTCTGTGGGGAAAAGCTGCTGCTTCTGTGCTCTCCAGTTTCCCTATGAGCATCTCCTGAGCAGCTACCCTGTGTCCTGCCATGGCTCTGGTGATTATCGGGTCTCCTTGAGCTCCGGGCACCTCAGTGCATGTGACACAGTGCACCATGCTCACCAGGGAGGCTCTCCTGGAAAAATCAGACCGTTCCCTGGGAGCGCAGGGCAGCTCCCGACCCTGCAGGGCCCCCAGGCGCTGTTTATCTTTGCACAGGAGATAAATTAGCTGTCGGCCATCCTATTTCAGGGCTGGACAGCTGTAGCTTGCACTGGCCCATCCCATCCTGCTGCGGCAGAGACAGGGACCTCCTGGTGCTTGCCAGCCCCTCTGAGTGCTGGTCAGTGTGGCACTCTTGTTGAGTAGGACTGAGAAGATGAGACCTGGCCCTATTTCAGAATGATCCACAGGGCCAGATGACCCTCAGGACTCATTGCACAGGACCCCATGGTTCCAGCTTCCCTTCCCAGTGCTGCTGCCTTGCACCCCACTGTGCTGCACCCTCTGCTTTGGGCTGTGCTTTATCCCCTGCACACTGAAAGCTGGGCTGGGTGGGGTGAGACAGACGTGATGACTTCTCCATGACCCAACAGGAACCCAAGTGTTTGGGGAAGCTCCCCTTCTGCAAGGCAGAGGGGTTGGGTCAGTTTAGCACCCAGGCCAGCTAGTGGCAGCACCAAGGTCTCCAGAGGGTGAAGCGTGTCCCATTGCCTTGGGCATGGCCACCAAGGGACCTGTCCTACTCAGCTCCTCTAGAACCTCCAGTGATGACAGCAGCTCTGGGGCTCTGCACGTGTGTCATGAAGTGTGTCAGGCTCTCCTTGGGGCAAGCAAGAAGGACCATGTCCCCTTTGCCACACTGCTCAGCATTTTGCACCCATGGGGTCTGGTGATGCTCCCAACTGGAGAGAAATTCCCCCAATGGCTATTGACAGCTGCAGCTGAGGCGGCACAGATGGATAGTGAGGGTATAGACGGGCACAGCAGACAGCACAGCAGAGTGAGAGATACTTGGAGCAGAGAGATAGTGCAGGAGGAATCGAGAGATAGATCCTGAGGGCTGATCAATACCCACTGCATGTGGAGGGACAGCAAGATAAAGCAAGTTGCAGGGGGAAGGTGTTAGGAGGGTAGCGATCTGCATTAGTCCTGGTGACAGCTCTGGGGAGATGCCCCTCATGGTTGCTTCAGCTAGTATGGGGGTAGAGTCAGACCTGGGGTGCAGGTGCCCATGGCTGATTCTCCTTGCTCATCTCCAGCCGCTCCATAAGGGTTTGGTGCCCTTTGGGGTGTCCTGGGGTCCCATGTGGCCTCTGGACACCAAAGGGTGTGTATTTTGTGTCTGTCCTGGTCACATCTTCTGTCTCTCCAAGGAGTACCTGCTGCCTGTGGGCATTTTGATGGATGCAGTGTCCCCGGGCAGCCAAGGGGGAAAGGGGCAAGCCCTGGCCCTCTGCGGCAGCTGGGTGACTGAAGATGAGCTTCCAACCTCTTCCTCAGTTTCCCCATGAGAACCAAATGCTGCAGGCAGCTGGGTCAGGCCAGCATGGATTTGGGCATGGATAAAGATGCACGGGAAGAAGCAGAGGCACTAACAGCCTGCAGAACTTGCTGTGTCCAGGACTCATCTCTTCTTTGCTGGTCATTGGAGACACTTACCTGATTAAGAGGTTGCAGCCACAAAAGGGATGCTTTCTGTGACCCTTTAATGAATGCCTGGCACTCAGTGCTCTCTGCTGGGATGGGGCCAACCCCTCCTGCCACAGCAGAGCAGCCAGGGTGTCTGGGTCTATGCCCAGCTCCACCCTGCTGGCATTTGCCTGAGCTACCCTGTGCTATGTGGTTTCTCTGCTTGTCATGGTTTCTTTCTTCCCAGCTGAGCTGGGAATGCTGAGGAAGGAACCCCCAGAGCAGCCTTTTGCATGGACAGGGCTGCTGGCCCTGCAACCAGGCTGGGGGGGATCCCCCACCTGGTGTGGAGTTATTGACACGGGTGCTACAGAAAACACTGCTGAGATTGTTCACACTAATGTTATTTAGCAGCAATATTTCCGTAATAAAAGAAATCAATGGGCAAGAGAAAAGACCTGTCCAGAGCTTTGATTTTCTTATTTTAATGGCATACTTATTTACTCCCACCAGCGTGCCCATCGGATTTTCATTACGCGGCCTTCGCTGTAAGTGGAGCGGTATTGATACGAGCTGCTGAGTTAGCGCCTTGCCGCGCGGGCCAGCTCGGGTGGGACTGCTCGTGTGCCCCAACGGGGCCCTGTCAAACCCCGGGGAACAGCCTGGGGTGGGCCAGGGAGGCCTGGTAGCCACAGGAAAACACGTATGTGCACACACAGAGCCTGCCCATGCGTGCGCGCACACACACACACACACACACACACACACACAAAAAACACAGCCTGCCCATCCATGAGCACACATGTGTACTGCAGGCTGTGCACACGCACAGGTGTGACACACACGTGTCACCTGCATGGGCACGCACACACAGAGGAACAAAACTCTTCTGGCTACACCCACGCACACACATGTCCTACTCACATATGCCCCAGCACTCACACACCTGCAGCTGATCTGTATGGAGAGATACCTGTTTATAAATGTGTGATAAATGCCTGTTTATAAATGTGATGTCATTTTTAAATGTGTGCCAGCCCCACCTGAAAATTGTTCTACCTATAATGCACACATGATCTGTGAACACACACATGTGTGATGTGTCTGACAGCATATATGTGCACCTCCTGTGTGTGTGTGTGCAAACCTCTCAAAACCACCCACTGTGTGTGGGTCCAAACCATTCTCAGGAGGCCACAGACTCAGCACTGCCACTATCCCTCAAAAGGATGGAGCCCTCTGAGCTCCGGGACTGCCCATGGAAGCAGGGATCTGGCACCAGCCCAGGCATTTGGTCACCAGTGACTGCGGTGGCGAGAGGAGTAACAGCACCATCTTCTGCCAATCCCCGGGAGCTGAGGCAGGGCTCATCCTGCCCAGCGACATATTCCCAGCTCCCGGGACCTTGAATGGGGTGATGAACTAGCTTCCCCAGGGACACCCAGCCGTCAGCACAGTACTGCTGCTGAGGCTGGAGCTGGCCTTCACTGTGCCAGGGCTCAGCATGCTACAGAGACTCACCCAGAAACCCAATTATGTGGGATGAACAACTTTATTACTGGTATCTCTTTTCAGGTAGCAAATTAAGAACTAGCCCATGTGTAGGGCTGCTGGTCAGCAGAATAGGGACAGTTCAGGGAGCAGGAGAATCAACATGCTACAGGCCTGGGTGGCCAGGAACACACTCGTGTGTTTGGCAGCATAATGGAGGTGAAAGCCCTCCACCAAGCAGTGAGCTCACACGGGTCTGACCACAGGGGTGCAAGCAGGGTGCACATCTGGGTTTGGCTGGAGGATTACAGCACTCTGTTGGCAGCCGGGATCCCATGCCGGGAGCCGAGCAGAGTGGCTGTCCCCGGGGGGTCTCACAGCCAGGGGAAGCATTTTGAGGGGCGAGATCCCATCCTGAGCTAGTACAGACATTTGGGCACTCGAGGACACCAGGTGCATGCATAGCCGAGAGGCCACGCAGAACGGGGTCTCCATTAAGGCGACAGACGGTGGGTTTCCCCCTTGGGGGGCACTGCCTGGAGAGCACTGTGGGGAAGCGACCCTCTTCCAGCCCCAGCCACTCCCGAGGGCAGGTGACACACAGGGGAGCAGGGGGCCCTCCAGCACAGAAGCCGGGCATCCCCCCACTGCCAGGGGGTCTCAGCGCAGATCCTGCCCTGTGCCAGGGTGACACTGTGTGCTGCCAACCCTCATCAGCAGGGATGGAGCCACGGGAGACGCTGCCAGCTGGACACAGCACTTTGCGCTGCCCGCAGTCCCGGCAGGCTGCCAGAGACAGGGGGACTCAATGGCCGACCTCTGCAATGGGTGCTCTGGTCTGGCCTACCCTGTGCACCCTGCCCCGAGGGCAGCATCATTCCCCTGATGTCTCAGGAACTGAGGAAATCTTTTGGGGCCCGGGGACAGCCAGCTCCAGCTTCTCTCCCGCTGCATGCTGAGGGCACACAGAGGTGTTTGTACACTGCAAGGCCACTCCAGCCCCGAGGGATGGAAAAGCAGGACGTGACTCCAACAGAAAGGAGGGACAGGCAGGTAGTAAAGAGAACTGACGTTCTGTGTTGCTGGACTGCCAAGGTCCCTCTGTCCTGGCACCCTGTTGGCCTGTGGGGAAAGGACAGAACAATTTGGGGAAGGCACAGGGGATCTCCTGCTGCCTCTGCTAGAACCTGGGCTCGGGGAGGAAGAGAGAATGGCTGGGAGGAAAGGAGCCAACTGGGCTCAGCAGGGTGCCCTGGTGAGACGGGCTCAGCACCCAAAGGTGCTGAAGAAGGCATTTGCTTCCAGGAGCAGCCCCTTTGCGTAGACACGCAGGGTGTAGAAGAGGGTGACGAAGTCCTGAGTGCTGAAGAGGGTGTCAGCCAGGGCAAAGGCGAGCGTGGAGGGGATGAAGCCCCGGCCGTACTCCACCATCCAGGTGCCTGCGCTCCACTGCACTGACGTGGCCTCTCCCGCCAGGTGCACGATGGTGTCGCCTGCCAAAACACACAACCAGCACAGCTCCCAGGGGCTGCCCCACATCACACCCAAATGGGAGACATGGTATTAGAGCCTGCAGGGTTGAGCCCACCCCAGCTATGCTCCCTCTTCTCTTACTGCCACCCACTGAGATGCTGAGATGCACTACTGGGGACCCAACCTGCTCTATCCTTAGCTCCTGGCTTCTGCCAGCTCTATAACAGCAAGCGGCTGTGCCCCGAAGACATGGATGCAGCCCACAGGTCACCATAGTGCTGCACTTACCTGGATAGTAGATCTCACTTCTGGTGGTCCCCTCCTTCCATTGCCGGAATGTCCCCGAGATGACAGTGTCAGAAATATCTGCCCAGTAGCGACCTGTGGGAGGACAGGCAACACTGCCTCAGTGTCTCCCTGCCAGGGATAGCACAGCTCTGAATGGTGGAGCAGGAGGGCCAGCATGGCAGCCCCACTGTCTCAATACACCAAGTGCCAACAGCTCTGGTACTCTTACTGTCTGTGTGAAGAGCCATATACCACCAGCCAGGGCTGCTCAGTGTCCTTAAGCCCCATTATTTCCAATTTCTTTGGCATTTGCTGCCTCCTAAAGCACTGGGAGATGAGATGTCTGCCATCGCCTGCCAGCTGGATGCGGAGAGTCCTGGCCACACAGCATGTTACATACAGGGACCTGCAGATGCTGCAGGACACCATGGGCGCTGGTCCCCTTGCAGGGAGGGTTTGGCCAGCATCGCTCACCCCATACAAGTAGTGAAGCAGTGGGCTCCCTGAACTGGGCACACCATGGCCAGCTGCACCTGAAGAATGGAGTAGAAATAGCTCAGAGAACTCCCCTGCCAGAACCCCGGTCCCCCTGTTTACCTGAGTGTCCCCCGGTGTCGACAGCTGTACCGAAGAGCAGCACGTACTCGGTGAGCGAGGCATGGAGCAGGCACATGGAGCCCATCCATCCGCCCGCATTCACAAACACCCACTGCAGGTCCTCGTCCGGCAGGATGTGCCCTGGGTGCCTCTTTCGCAACTCCACAATGATTTTGGAGAAAGCCAGCTCATGGTCCAGCCCTGCACACCCATGGCCACTGTAAGTCCCTGGCACAGAAAAACCTCAGCCGAGCAACACCCCGAATCCCCTGCACAGCCACAGGGTTTCAGTGCACCCTTGGAGAGGTCTGCCTTGGGAAGATATCTCCTCCCTCCAGCCCTCAGCTCCCGCTGACCCAGCTCCACCGCCTGCCTGGATGGTGACGGAGGATAAGCAGCACCGGGTGCTCCAGTCCTACAGCCCATCCCAGGTGCTGGGCAATACGGGAAATCTAAATAACGTGACAGTGTCCCTGACCTGGTGATATGCAGCTCCGGCCAAACTCCCTGTGCCCTACGGGGACAGCCCTCGTCTGAAGCTCCGGGCCTGACCCACCTAGAGCTTCAGCCCCAACCAGGCTGGATGATGCCGCTGCCCTGCTCCCCCTTGCTCCAGTCCCATCTTCCACCCTGCTTTTCCTGTTGCTATTCCCCGGTACCGATCCCCTCCGTCTCCCATCTCGCTGCCCAGGTCCAACTCCCTGCCTCTCCCTGACCCCAGCCCCATTCCCCATACGATCCCGACCCCCCTGTACCGAATTCTCCTCGGTCCTTCGTCCCCCCTACGCCTCCCCCCTCCAGCCCAGGCCGCCGCTCCCCGCCACGTCCCCGGCTCCTCTCTCCATCCCCAACCGCTTGCCTATCCCCATCCCCATCGCCATCCCTCCTCGGCCCCGCTCCCCGCCGGCCCTCCGCGTCCCCACGGCCGGCGCGTACCCGCGTGGTGCCGGGCGAGCTGTGCGATCTCGGCGGAGCTGAACTCGTACCGCTTGGCCGCCAGCCACCCGCGCAGCCCCTGCAGCACCAGCGCCAGCGCGCCCAGCGCCAGCCCGGCCCGCAGCGCCCGCCGCCCCCACGCCGCGCCCATGCCGCGCTCCGCCGCCCCCGGCACCGGGAGCGGGACCCGGGCCGGGACCGCCCCCGCCGCGGCCACGCCACGCACGGCCCGGGCGGCTGCGCCGGCGCGGCGGGGCGGGGCGGCAGCCTGAGGGGGCCGAGCCCGCCGGGTTTCCGGGAGTGGGGAGGCATGGAGCCATCGCTGGCAGGGGCGGCGGAGGCGGGCGACCGCTTCCGTGCCAGCGGTACGGATGGGGTTGCCTTCCTCCGTCCTTCCTCTCAGACCCCCGGCGGGGCCCAGCACGGCCCCAGGACGGGAGCTGCGGGGACCTTCCCTGCCCAGAGCAGCGGGGCTCCCGGGCTGGGACAGGGAGGAAGGGGAGAAGCTGAGGGAGGGGTGAAGCTGAGGGAGGGCATCAGGCGGCGTGTATAAGGCAGACCGTCCTGCTTGCCCCGTGAGGGGGCCTGGCGGCCGGGGTGCGTGTGCCCCCATTGCGGGGGGGTCTGCCACTGCTCTCCCTGCCCACAGAGCACCAGCACGTTCGGTACAACCCGCTGCGGGACGACTGGGTGCTGGTATCGGCCCACCGGGTAAAGCGCCCGTGGCAGGGTCAGCTTGAGAAGCCGCCCCCCGAGGATGTGCCCCGCTGGGACCCCAAGAACCCCCTCTGCCCGGGGGCCACCCGGGCCAACGGCGAGGTACCACCAGGGACACCGGGACCCGGGCTGCCCCTGCCACCCCCTCCTGCCTTCATGCCATCTCTCACCCCGGCAGGTGAACCCCAAGTACGAAGGTACTTTCGTCTTCCCGAATGACTTCCCTGCACTGCAGCCCGATGCTCCAGAGCCTGGTAACTTTGGGGAGCAGAGCAGGCTGCTGGGGACCCCCCGACTTGGGGCCTAGGGCTGCTGCACGGTGGCCTGGAGAAGCTTGGGTTCTGCCTCAGCACCTTCTCCCTGTCCCCTCTCTGTCCTTCCCCAGATGACAATGATCACCCCTTGTTTCGAGCTGCCCCCGCCCGGGGTGTGTGGTAAGTACCTACATGGCTCCAGCGGGTTTGGGACACAATTTGTCAAAAACCTGTGGAATGGTGCTGGGCTGGGTGTGCTCCCCTCATGCAGTGCCTGTACTATATGCACCTGTTCAGTTTTGGGGTCAGTCTGGGGGTTTTGGCCCTGTCCCTTGTCCCTCATCTCACTGCACCCAGCAAAGCTGTGAGGGTCTCCGGAGACACCCGCAGTCACAGCTAAGTGTGTTTCCTCTGTAGCAAGGTGATGTGTTTCCACCCCTGGTCGGACCTGACGCTGCCCCTCATGTCCCTGCCAGAGATCCGGGCTGTCGTTGATGCGTGGGCAGAGCTGGCAACGGAGCTGGGTGCTTCCTACCCCTGGGTGCAGGTGTGGGGCTGCTGGGGGCTGCTGTTTTGTGGGGTGAAGGTGGGAGGCCAGCACTGGATACTCTGGCAGTACTTGGGGTTGGGAGCATCCGAGTTGTGTGTGGGTCTCTTGCTTTGTGTCCTCTGTGCCCTTTGAGCCCTGCTGAGCCTTTCCACACCCTTGGGTGTGAGGCTCTGTCCTCCTGCAGGTTGGTTCCCTGCTGTGCTGGGGACACCATGACAGCCTGCAGCGGGGGCCCTGTGGCTGGGACCTGCTGGCTGCACCTCTTCCTCTTCTCACAGATCTTCGAGAACAAGGGAGCCATGATGGGCTGCTCCAACCCGCACCCCCACTGCCAGGTGAGGCTGTCCCACCTCTGACCTGGCTAAACTACAGGTCCCTACAACAAACCCTGGGGGCAGATGTGAACGGCAGTCACCCTACCCTGGTCCCGAAGCTTTTTACAGTGAGGATTCCCCTATGTCTGTCCTGTCACTCTCCCTCTGAGGACTGTCCCTTGTGCCTGTCACATGCCAGACTCTCCACCTGGTGGCAGCAGGGACCTCCAGATGAGCAGCAGGACTAGGGATACCCCTGCAAGTGCGGACTATGAGCACCTCAGTCCTGTGCCCCAATGTCCCTCCCAGGTGTGGGCCAGCAGTTTCCTCCCGAACGAGGCGAGCCTGGAGGACCGGAGCCAGCGCCAGCACCTGAGCCAGCACGGCGTGCCCATGCTGCTGGAGTACGCTGAGCAGGAGGCTGGCCGAAAGGTGAAGGCATGGATGTTGTCTGTATCCCCTCCTTGAGAGCTGGGTGTGTGCTCGGCTGGGCTCCCCAGCCCCCAGGAGATGGGCCCTAGGAGTGCCCTGGGGAGTTGGGACTTTGTGTGTCCCCATCATGCACTGTGTGTAACACCCCCCAGGCTGGGGACAGAGTGGCTGGACAGTGGCCAGGCAGAAAGGGATGTGGAAGTGCTGGTTGGAGCTGGCTGAACATGAGCCAGCAGTGTGCCCAGGTGGCCAAGAAGGCCAAAGGCACCTGGCCTAGATCAGGAATAGTGTGGTCTGCAGGAGCAGGGAAACCATTCTTTCCCTGTACTTGGCACTGTGAGGCTCCACCTTAAATGCTGTGTCTAGTTCTGTGTCCTCAATTTAGGCAGGATGTTGAGATGCTCAAATTCATCTGGTCAGAGATCTGGAACACAATCCGTATGAAGAACAGCTGAGGGAGCTGGGGGTGTTTAACCTAGAAAAAAAGGAGGCTTAGGGGAGACCTTATCTCTCTGTGCTACTCCCTGAAAGAAGATTTTAGTCAGTGAGGGGTCAGTCTCTTCTGCCAGGCAAGCAGTGACAGGACAAGATGACACAATCTTAAGCTGTGCCAGGGAAGTTTAGGCTAGACATAGGAAAAAAATTCTTCACTGAAAGAGTGATTGGGTGTTGGAATGGGCTGCCTAGGGAGGTGGTGGAGTCAAAAAGACTGGGTGTGGCATTCAGGGCCATGGTTTAGTTGATAAGGTGGTGTTAGATCACAGGCTGGACTTGGTGATTTCAGAAGTCTTTTCCAACCTGGCTGATTCTGTGATTCTCTGCCCTGCAGGAGCGGCTGGTGGTGGAGAATGCAGACTGGCTGGTCGTGGTGCCATACTGGGCCACCTGGCCCTACGAGACCCTGCTGCTGCCCCGCCGCCATGTCTGTCGCCTCCAGGACCTCAGTGACAGTGAGAGGGACAGTGAGTGGCCCTGAGCTTTGTTGTACCCCATCCCACATCCTTTGGGCTTGACCTTTGTTATGAGGCAGCCATGCTGGTGCTGGAGGGCTTGTGTCCTTGGGGTGGGACCTGCTGAGCTTAGCTGGGGAGGGGAATGGCCCCTCTGTTTTGTTAGGATAAGAACTGGTTGTTAGGATAAGAACTAGCACTTCTTGTGGCACTTGTTCCGTTTGGGGTGATGGAGCACATAGTGCTCCCTATTTTGGTGGGAGGCTTCTCCTGCTGCATTGCTCGGGCTCCCTGTGTGAGTGGGGAGGGGTGAGAATTCCCAAGTGCATCCCTGCTGCCTGTCCCTGATGTCCACCCAGGGACAGTGCTGTGGGTGACCCCACTGCACACCTGACAAGCTGCTGGCCAGCTCGGTGTGTGAATCACTGTCACTTTCCTGCAGGCCTGGCCTCCATCATGCAGAGGCTGCTCATCAAGTACGACAACCTCTTCGAAGTCTCTTTCCCCTACTCCATGGGCTGGCATGGTGAGTGGCGTGGCTCTGCAATACTCTCATCCCCATCCCTGACTCCTCCTCATGCAGTGCCTCTACCTCTGGGGATCTCTGCTGGTCAGAGTGACCCTGAGATGCGTTAGAAAGTCTCTTTTTCCAGCCAGGCAGTTGAAGAAAGGAGTCAGAACTCTTCAGTTCTCGGTCTCAAAGTTGTTTATTGTTTCTTATCTATAAAATTCTCTCTCCTGGTCTGCCAAGGTCTGCTCAGCAGGATAGACAGAGGCACTCTGCCTCCCCCAGGGTGGTGTTATCTTTTTATACTAAAAACTACATGTACAATATTTAGAATTACTTTCCAATACCTGTCACCTATGTTACACAGTGAGCTTCTACTCTAAACTGATCTAAAAGTGCCAGCATCACAGCAGAAGTTGGAAGCCAAGAAGAAGTAGGTGAAAGGCTGGGCACACCCAGATTCCTCCATCTTGCCCCCTGAACCCCCATTCTAAAATCCCAAAAAAATTTATTTTTCACCCCATGATAAACCGATTATTATTCTACTTACACTTTTGTCGCTTGCAGATCCTCATATAAAGTTGTTAACTTTTTCCATGGGTCATAATCAAAGTCACAGGTGTCTTGTGCTCTGTGCCAGGGTCTCTGAGCCCCTGGCAGGGATCCTGGCCATCCAGGACAGCCAGATGTCCTGAATTCCAACATCTACCCCCTGCAGGAGCCCCCACAGGCTCCTACCTGGCGGAGGACTGCAGGCACTGGCAGCTCCATGCCCACTACTACCCCCCTCTGCTGCGCTCTGCCACTGTCCGCAAGTTCATGGTGGGGTACGAGATGCTGGCACAGGCACAGAGGGACCTCACCCCGGAGCAGGTGGGTGCAGCTCAGGGGCACTGGGGCACCCGGGGGGCTGTGTGCCAGGGCTGTCCCTGCAAGCAGCCCCCGGCTGTCCCTTGTGCTGTGCCCTGCAGGCAGCCGAGCGCCTGAGGAGCCTCCCCGAGGTGCACTACAAGAAGAGGGCTGAGTAGGTGTGATGGGAGCAGCAGAGCACCCAGTCCTCGCATGTGAGTGTGAGAGGGGTTCTTACTGCTTCCCAGCACTCCCTGAAAGGAGGTCATAGCCACGTAGGGGTTGGTATTTTCTCCCTGATAACTAATGATAGGACAAGAGGGAGTAGCCTGAAGTTGTGCTAGGGGAGGTTTAGATTGGATGCTGGGAATATTTCTTCACCAAAAGGGTGGTCAGACATGGGAACAGGCTGCCCACAGAAGTGGTGGAATCCCTGTAGCCTGGAAGTATTAAAAAAAAAAAAAAAGTAAATGTGGCACTTAGGGACCTGGTTTAGTGGTGGGCTTCACAGTGCTGCACTAAGAGTAGAGGTTTCAGATTTTATCGTTTGGTGTGCTCAGTGAGGCCACGAGTCAGCTGGGAGTGGTGACAACTGAGGTCTGGGAATTCATGTCGATTGTGAGCCCTCTGAACTCCCAGATTCTCCTGACCCTTGTCACAGTTTGGCTGGTTTTTGGGACTGGTTTTGCCTGTTTGGGGACTCAGGGTCTAATCCTGTGGCATTCTTGTGTAGGTGGTGTTCCTTGTCTCTTTCACCATCCCAGGCTGTCTCTGCCCCCATGGCCTACTCCCATCACTACTAAAGGGCTTACCCTCCTTACCAGTCCAGTCTCACTGGTGGGACTGGGATTTCTTCTGCCCCGTGGAGGGGCACAACCCCCCTGGACAATAAAACCTGAAGCAAAGTGCCTCTGCCTGTGCTTTCGTGGCTCTCAGTCCTAGGTGGGAGGTTTGGGGTCTCTGGTGAAGACCCCATCTGCTGGTGGGGGGTAGCACGGGGCTCAGGGGTTGTGCTGGTAGCCCAATACCTGTTGCTTGTGTCCCTGCCTCTGTGCTGCCTCCTCTTCCTCCCTGGGGGGAGCTCTGAGTCTGTCTCTGAGCACTCCAGGCTTTGGAGGAGTGGGAAGCAGAGGAAGAATGGATGCAGCCCAAGGCCTAGGCAGCTCCTGGGAGAGGGCTGAGCCCTGGCAGACTTGCTGCACGGGGGCTGCTGGCTGAGATGCTCAGCCCTGGAGCTGTTCCTCCTCATCCTCTCTGGCTGGGACTGCTGGTGGCAGCCCTCATGCTGCAGGTACAGGGGCTGCTGGGATGCAGCCAGGGGATGGTTCATCACTCACCTGGGGGCTCCCAGGGAGTCCAGCTCTCTTCCTGGTGCTGCTCCCCGCTTCATTGTGCCCAGCCATGGGGGGGGATAGTGGCAGCTTGGACCCTGGGCCGAGCTGGGGGATATTCTATTCACCTCTGTATTTGCTCCCCTCCCTTTCCCTCCATGAAAGCCCTGGGACTCTGCAGGGGTAGGTGATGGACTGTGATGCCACCACAGCTGATGTGGGGTGCGCCAAGCACTATGAATGTGCACATCTTCACAAATAGTTTTTATTTGTCACTAATGAGCCATTCTCACAGCTCTCTAATGAGACCCCTCTCCTTGTCCAGTCTGTGAGAGTGCTCCTGGGGTCTAGAAATATCTTGCAAGGAGAGAAGTGATCTCCTCCTGCCTCCAAGACAGCAGTCCATGGCGAGGGCCGTGTTCCCCGTGCCCCATCCGTGCGTTGCTCCCTGTGAGCCTGGGACAGATGGAAGGGCTTCCTGCCTGTGTGATGCTGGATGCCCTCCTGCATGCTGGTTTTCTCTTTCTGTCTGATTGCCTCATGCCAGAGCCCACAAATGCCATCACCTGATCTCAGCCCTCCCCAGGTGCTCTGGGGCTCTGGGGAGGAGCTGGTGGCTGACCCTTGAGCTTGAAGCCATCATTGTACGCAGCATCCCTCACCAGGGCATCGGGACTGCCCAGCTGGGAGTCTGGCCTCTTGCAAAACTGATTTCTCCCCTCCTGGGACAAACAGAGTCCGTTTGATCTCTGCCTCCATCCCGGTCATGAGCCTTTTCCATTGCAACAAGTGCCTCTGCTCCAACTTCCCAACTTCCCCGCCTATTCTCCAGGGTCCTGGGGAAGCGGCAACAAATTGCCTTAAGTGTGGCAATCCAGCTCGGGGTAATTAGCCGCTGAACCGGTTGTAACGAAGCTAGTCATCTCCCGGCACGGGCAGTTAGCTGTGATTTAATGGCCCGGCAGCTCCCAGCCCCGGGCTGCCGCGCCTCGGCCCGCGGCCGTAAATGAAACTCGCAGTTAAGTCAAGCGGTATTAAACTTTACAGTCGCCGTCTCTGAAAACGGGACTCTCTTCAATAAATCAGGGCAAGTGGGATTGTAAATATCGAGGCAGGATCCATATTGCTTAATTAAACAGCACCTAATGAACAGCCTGTTTGTTGTGTTGTGATTTAGGATCGAGGCTGGGGAGCAGTGTGTGCTCAGGGGGGCTGGTGCCTGTGCCATGGTGCCCTCTACTGCAGGTACCCGCTGCTCAAGTTTATCTGCTGCTAAAAAATCTCAGAGATGGCCTGAGAATTAGTTTGGGGGTTTTTTGAAATTAAAACAAAATCCCCTTCTGAAATCTGAAACAGGGTGATAGCAGCAGTTAGAGGAGGAAGAGGAGGGAGTACACCCAGGTGTAAGAGCTTGACCCTGGTTTTGCTGAGCTCCCCACCTCCTCACAACAGCTCCAGCCTCCTCTTGCCCTCATACTTCTGGCTTGTGCACAGGGTTGTGTAAGGCTGGAAGGGAGCAATGAGCCTTTCCCATGGCACAGGGAGGCATCAGGGTGGTGCAAATGGAGCTGCTGAGGATGCAAAGGCATTGCAATTCATAGGAACTATCGCTGGTGTGCTGTAAAGCCCCAAGCCTTTTATATTTTGGTAGTTGCAGTCCACTTGTAATTAAAAAGTGATTTATTGCAGGAGATTAAAAAAGTCCAGCTGGTGAGGGATGAGGGAGTGGAGGGCCTGCAGGGCACCCAGCTGTTGTTCTGGACTTGGGAGCCACAAAGGGGAGCTGAGGCCTATCGGGATTCCCCATAAGGACATTCCTTGATGCTGTTTCAGTTCTCCAGGAGAGCTGCTGGAAATCCTGGGAGAAGTATCTCTGTGACTGGGTCATCCTTGTCCTGAGTCTCCATCTCCCAGCATGAGGGCAGAAACATCCTCTGCAATCGCTGCCCTGAGCTGTTCTGGAGGAATGAACAGGGCGGGGGGTGGGGAGAGTGAGTGAAGCTGAAGCATGGAATTAATGAGTTAAAATCCACTGGGGTCCCATAGGGGTGTTTGCACCCTCTGTGGTGCGCTCATGGGTCTGTGAGGGATTAGGAAAGGGACAGAATGCTGCTGTGCCAGGCTGGCACAAAGTGTGCTCTGCCAGGAGCAAGGGATACACCCAGTTGGGGATCCAAATGTACAGAGATGCTTGGTGGGGGTGAGGCCTGGAATTTATTTTCATTTTTGTCCCATTTTCTGATGCCACTGAAAGAAATTGGTCAATCTGCCAAGGGATGTGCCTTCCCCAAATCTCCTGGAGCTTTGCCTCTACTGAAATGAGCCAATGTCCTTGCCCGGGTTGTAGCAGCGGCTGTGTCCAACATTGTGCATGTTTGGGAGACCCAGAGCACTCCCAGCTTTGACACTGACTCCTCCCGTGGCTGTGGTTGTGCCCTGGGTGCCATTCTGGGAGGCACATGGTGGACAGGCACCATTTGGCACGAGCACTTCATGGTGGAGGGCAAGGGGCAGGTTTGTGCCCTTTGGTTGGGTGTCCATGTCCTTGGCATCTGCCACAGACTGCAGAGCTGCAGACAAGCTGCAGATCCTGTCCTGCCCACCCCTCCTCCTCTTCCCCCTGCCTTCCAGTGCAGGTGAGACAATAAAATATTGAGCAAAGGAAGGTAATCTGTGACCAGTGTGTTTTAATCAGAAAGAAAGGTTACGAGTTGGGGCCTGCTGGTGCCTGCCATGCTCCAGTTTTACTGTCCTTCCTGATACCAGGTTAATGGCTGTCATTTCATCCCAGTTTTACTATTGGATTTGCCCTTATTGTTGAGTTTCTTCTTGTCTGCTGCTGCCTGCAACCCTGATTCCAGAAGAATTTGAGTTGCAAGGATTCCTTCTGTCACTCTGGGGGTTTTTGCAATGGAATTAGAAGAAATTAGTAAAATTTTAGGGAGGAAGAGAGGAAGGATGAAAGAAAGAAATGGAGGAAAGGAGAGAGAAAGGAAGGAGAGGAAGGTGAGGGAAACAGTGAGGGAGAGAAAGCTAAATCCCTCACGTTTCTATTTAAAAGACATCGTCAGGCACTTACCATGAAAACAATTAATAATTTTAAGCAGATGCTAAACACTCTGATGCCCTGAAGCAGGCAGGCTCCATGCAGTGGGGAGATTTTGTGTGCCAGGAGAATGCAAATCAAAACCCAGATCCCTTTTAGATCTTGTCTTAACTGGCCATGCAAGAGCAGCTGGGACAGCAAAGAGCCCTCACTTTCTCCTGGGCCACGTGGTGCACCTTCCCTGGGTTTGGTAGCTTCCTTGGCAGGAGTTCAGACTAGCAGGAAACAATTTTGGAGGTGTTTTGCCCGTGTTTCAGACAGCTGGTATGTTTCCTCTGCTGATGGTCCCTGAGTCCTTCTTGCAAGTCATTTTCAGAGCCCTTGGGCACCATGAGTTGTGGGATGGCGTTTGGTCTTAGGCAGACACAGTGGAATGTCTGGATGATGCCTAGCAAGCTCTGCATGGACTTCACGATGGCAGCCCCAAGGCTGGAATTTAGTTGGTTAATCATCTGATAATACAGGTAATTTAATACTGTCACTTTACAACATCCATGTGGTCAGTAAGCACTGTCCCCCCAAATTTCCTACTTGCCTGGTGTTGGGGAGGTACCTTGGGGCTTCAGCTCTTGGCAGTGGGGACCTGTCACTGTGTGAGGTTTGAGCCTTTCCCATCCTGGAACCCCATCCCAGAGTCAGCAGCCTCTGTTTGGAGCAAGACAAACACCAGGAGCATCCAGATTCCAGCTGGATTCAACCCAAACAAAACTGTCTGGGGACGGAGGGGAGCAGGTGTGGGTGGGAGAGCAGGGGACTGCTCTGGGATAGGGGCAGCCAAAGGGAAGGTAATCTTTGCCTGCAAAAGGGAGTTATCCAGCAGCAGTGCGGAGGCTGGGAGAAGGAGCTGGAGCCCTTGAAGCGCCCAGGATCTGGCATGGCTGAGATTGGGCACCCTGGCTGTTCCTGGCACACCACTGCTGCTGGAGCCAGCTGTGAAAGCTCACAGACATCTGTGCCTGCCCCGTGGGGAGGGATCTCCCTTCATCCTGATGTTCCAGAGAAGAAATCTCTATATATTTGCTAATTATCATGAGTGATGCTGAGAAGTCTGCTACAAAGCCCCAGGAGCAGCAAGACATTGCAATGCCAGGACGGATCTGAGGTGGGAAATCATCCCCTGCGGTGTGCCTGGGCATGAGGTGACTCCTGCCAGAAGCAGAGCCCCTGGGAGAGAGGAGGAAGTGGAGAGATACTAATTAGGTGTTAATAAGCGAGTAATTAGTAGATCTCCAGCCTCCTTGGTGCCCCTGGGGCTCCCTTGCCCAGCTCCAAGCCAAACCACCTGCTTCAATGTACCTAAGGTGATCTGAGCCCCACAGGCGCAGAGATGAACAAGCTGCTGCTCCCCACACATAGTGACAGGCTCAATCTCACAAAATATCCTCATAAATTGCCCTCAGGAAACAAAGCTCGACAAATAAAAGCCGAAAGTCCATTTGCAGCCTGTTAGCTTTTAGTGTTTAATCTCTCACTTATTTTGCCTGCATTTATCTCAATATCAGGGCAGGTCCTCCACTCCCTCATGGCTTTGTGCTTGGGCAGGGAGACACGACTCCTGGGTGCCTGTGCTGTCCCTGTGGAAAAGGCACTGCCACCCTCTTGTGCCTCAGTTTCCCCATGGCTCAAACACAATCAATCGCACAGAGGCCAGACCCCATCAGCTGTGACCAGGCAGTGGGAGCCCCTGTGACAGCTCTGCAAGGGCTTTTATAGGATCGTTGGGATATCCTCAGTGTGACACCCTTGAGTTCCTCTGGCTTGGATGGCTCTGTCCCATCCAGATATGAGGTAAAAGGTTTCCCATCCCTGGGACTGGCTACTGCCCCAAAACACAGCTGTGCAACAAACCCCTGGGTTAGCACGCCCAGACTACTAGCTCAATATTTAATTTCAAACAATAAAAATACCTAGTTGTAATTTAATTTTTAAAATCAAATTTTTAATTCTCACACAGGAAGGAAACAGAGTGAGAGCGAAGCCAGGATGGGTCCCCAGGATGCCAGCTTGCTTTTTAACCCTTCCCATCCCGCTTTCAAATTGCTCTTGGGATCAGAGATGCTCAAAAACTATCTGTCTGGTTCCAGCTGCTTCCACTGCGCTTCAGTAGCAGCAGGACCCTGCTCCATCACAGCCCGTCAGGTCACCTCAGAAGTAGCAGATCCATTGGCACAGGAGAAAAGGAATGACCCCCACCCTCTGCTGGGGTCTGAAATTCCCTCTGCCCTGCAAAGGACTAGCCGACACATCAGGAACTCAGAATGATTATGATAAAACCTGTGGGACACCAAGGGCATCACTATGATTTGTGCTGTCTAAATGTTAATCAGAATAATAATGCCTATTGAGACAGCTGTTTTAAAAGGCTGTGATGTTGGAGTAAAAATTCCAATAAAACTCTATTAGCCCTTCCTCGTTACACTAATGGTGCCTGCTGCTAAAAGCCCCCTGCTATAGACACCCGTATTAATGGGCTTATTACAGGAAATAAAATCTGAGGCTGAACATTACAGAGAAGCCTGATTAATTCAGCAAGGTAATCTTTTTTTTCTTCCCCCTCCTCTCTGCCTGTTCTTATTCTCCCTCTCTTTATTTAATGAATGTACTTCTTGAACTGCCAACTTTTGAGCTTTTCATGGAGTTTGGGGATGATTTTAAACTGATCTCGTTCACAAAGAGATGAATCTTTGAGCTGGCACCTGGTGCAAATGGGGGGGAAGGCTTGTCAGATATCTCCATCAAACCAGGGGAGAGGAAAAGCAGCCAGGCTAGAAGTGAAGAGGTTAGAGAAGGGGGGAACAATGGATGTCCCAGGGATATCCACCTGGAGTAGTGGCTTGTGGGCTGAACAGCCCATTGCTTGTCACCAGGCAGGTGCATGTGACATTGGCCAATGTGAAGCTGCTGGGGGTAGAGCAACACCTGCCCTCAGATTCTGCTTCCCACTCTTTCTTGTCCTGATTTATCCTCTTTTGCCACCACCTCTGTCCCTGGAGGAAGGTTTGCCTGGGTCTCCCATTTGCAGG